TAGGATTGCTTGAGACTGGGGGAGAAACCTAGTGATCAATAAGCAAAAAAGTAAAATAATCATAATCAACAACAACATATTACTTACTTATACCCCGCCCATCTGGCTGCAAAACACAGCAAAGCAACAAACATTACAAACTTCCTCATACAGGGTTGTCTTCAGATGTCTTTGGAAAATTGTGAGGTTGTTTATCATTTTCACATCTGATGGGAGGGCAATGTCCAAGCTGAATGATGGGGATGGAGATGCTCCTTCAGGTATACCGGGCCAAGGCCATTAAGGGCTTTAAAAGTAACATCAACAGTTTGAATTGTGCTCAGAAATGTACTGGGAACCGATGTGGATCTTTTAGGGCAGGTGTAATATGGTCCTGGGGGATGCTTCCAGTCACCAGTATAGCAGATGCATTCTGGATTAGTTGTAGTTTCTGAGTCACCTTCAAAGGTGCAAAAATGGAATTCGAGTCAACCAAGGGCTAGAATTTCTGCCCAATCTTAAGGACAGATTGCCAACGGGTTACAAATTCATATGAGAGCCATATCTTCAGCTTGGGAGCTTTCCTATGTTGGTGCATCCCACCAGAATGCCTGCAAGGTTTCACACTTGGACTGGAGCTGAATCTACTCCTAGGCTTCTTATTTGCCTCTCACAAGCTAGAGAGCCCTGCAGGAGCCAAAGGGTCCTCCTTGCAGCATTTGAAACAACATGCAGGAATTTACTTGACATGAAAATCCACCAGTTCAAGCTAGCATTGTCCAATATGTTTATCCCCCCTCCCTGTTTTAAAGTTCTTGCTGACTTCTTTGAAAAGCACGTTTCTTGATTTATAGCTCCTCTAAGCACACCCTGGTAATTTTTGGCACTGAGGATAACATTGATCTAATCTTGGCAGAAGCCAAGTCATTCATTCTTTTCCTGCTGCCTATCAATATCTCCTGCCATGGAGAATGAAGCTAGCCAAACAACTCCTTGTCTCTGGACCAGATTAATTTTTTTGCTTGTTTGTTTGTTTCTGGCTTCTTTTCTTGAAACATGTACATGTGCATGAAAACACACACACACACACACACACACACACACACACACACACACTTTGTCTATGTTCCAAAAAAGCTCTCAAGATTACATTCCTAGTCATGAAGTTGGGAACCAATAGTTATGAAACGATCAAAGCCCCTGTGTCCTCTCCTCTCATGTTTAGAAGGTAGCAGAGTGGCGTGTCCATACTTCTCCAGGGTGCCAAACTCACAAAAAGATCCAAAGAACTTCATGGCTTCATTTATTCACTTTGTAAGTGCACATTTAATTTCCTGAGTCATACCGAAATTAACGAAGTAATATATAAAACCTGATTGTGTATTCTTTAGCAGTATGTCCTTATTCATCAGTTTAGGTCTCTTGTTACTAATGCATTTACATCTGACACAAAACAGAACTGGCCGGGTGTGGAAAGACAAGGCACATTAAAACAAAGCAAAACAGCTGCAAAGACAACTTTCCACATCTGACTTCCCAAATGTGTCTCTGAAAGCTGTCAGTGATATGGACTGGACTCTTAAGTCTTCAGGGCCTCTTTATTCAATGCTGGCAGATTGCTGGGTCACCCCTTGAGAAGGAGATTAAAAATAACAATCCAAAAGTAACAGTAGCACAGCAGATTTAATAGGAGTGGAACAATGAAAAGGTCCCAGAGAAGTCAGCAAGCTCTCACTGCATCACAGTGTTTTTTGTTTGGTCAGGTTGGACCTTAAATTACAAAGCAAAAGCCAGTGTTGGGAGGAGAAGATAAGGACATTTCTGGGTAAGATGAAAAACAACAGCAACAACCCTGATCTGAAGTTTGTAATAGCCTTAAAATGGAACGGGGCAGGTGTTGTACTTACATAAGCATGCTTAACTCTGTTAGAATACAGACTCAATATGTGGGGCATAGACACTTCCGGCTTCTGATTTACAGAGACCAGCGATTCCATATTTTCCACTGTTTCCATTAAACTATACCATGAAATTTCTGATTACATTCTTCAATAATTAACAAAATATGAAGCTTGTAAATGCAGCATAAGCTCCTTTTCAAGTGTTTCCAAAATGGCCAACACCCAGATTCTACAAAGAATTGTAAATTGAACACTCATTTTATTTTCCTGTTACAGTTTCTTTATCTTACAGTTAGCATTCATGGAACACTTACAGAGTGCTAGGTAACTAGATCCTTTGATGATGACAAAAGAGATGTGCATAGTAAACTGCAGTGGGTCAGAAGCATTAAAAGACCGTTTCTAAACATCTCCTCTTCTCTGAGAAGCTGCCTTTCCCTTTAGGGAAAATGTGGAGGGAATCCTTTACTTTTTAAATTAAAACAAGAGAAGGGAAATTTCTCCAAAACATTTTCAGAGGCAGTCCAGGCCACAGTGAAAAACTCTGTATTTGTGCATGTGTGTTGTAAGGGGGGTTTGGAAAGTCACCAAAACTATTGGAGTATTACAGTTCATTGCAATTTCTAAAGAGAAAGAATGTTGAAAATGTTAATGTTCAGATGTTTCAGTGGGATGTATTATCTTTGCACAAGTTTGCAACCAGAAAGTGAATGATGGAGCCATTATAGAAATGGCTGTTCAAGCACAACAACCCCATCATTAGTTTGCTGTAGTGCAATTTCCAAAAAAATTGGGAAATAACTGTGTTTATTCCACTCCCAATTCTGAAACTGGGAAACCTGTCATGTTTGTTTGTTCCATTTTTCTGATATCAGTAATTCTGGGTAATGTAAAAAAAAAAAACATGCTAAAAAATCACAATTCCAGTTTATACGGAGAAGAAATAATGCAGCAAATAAAACAAGCATTTTAAGAAACCACACAGCCATCTCAAAGCAGAGGCTTAGATGATGTTCTGAGAGTATGGAGGCCTTTGATACTTTCCCTACCCATCCACCTTCATGATTTCAGTCAACCCACCTGCTCCAAGCTCTGCCCTAATGCTTGCACCCCTTGACTTAAACTTAGCTGGTAACAGCTGTTTCTTGGAAGAAGACTGGGTGAGGACTTCTTCCCTCATACCTAGAATGCTACCATAGCATTCAGAGAGCCTGGGAACCATAGCTCCCTATGGAAAGTGGTCCATTCTACAGACCTGCATGCTCTAGAAAAATGTTTCCCAGGATTCCTTGACCTGGAAGACACCTGGCATTACAAAGGAAGGGATGGGACTTAGCAGTCTCATCCTTATTTTAGTCTGTCCACAAGATGCTGCTTCTATGGGAAATTGGAACATTAAAGACAGCTTGTGACAACATTAAATTTACAAAGGTATATGGAGGTAAAGAATAGTTTGACACCTGGAAAGCCAGCTGTATCATAGCAATCTGTGCTTGCATTATTTGGGGCTTGTGCAAATGGGGTTGTTTAATTAATTTATCAGAATGGCACACATGCCCATCATTTACTCAAAACTACCCACCATACCCACCAGTATCCCTGCGATGGGGTGAGCTCCCATTGTTCGGTCCCAGCTCCTGCCCACCTAGCAGTTCGAAAGCACACAGTCCAAGTAGATAAATAGGTACCGCTCTGGTGGGAAGGTAAACGGCGTTTCTGTGCACTGCTCTGGTTCGCCAGAAGCTGCTTAGTCATGCTGGCCACATGACCCATTAGCTGTACGCCGGCTCCCTTGGCCAATAAAGTGAGATGAGCGCTGCAACCCCAGAGTCGGCCACGACTGGACCTAATGGTCAGGAGTCCCTTTACCTTTACCCACCAGTATATGAAAATCATATACATATTAAAAGTTTACAGAGTTCTTTCAAAATAATAGAAATACATAAAGTGCAAAATTTACAAATAATCCTTTACAAAAAGTAATCTTACTTTTTAAAAGTAACTCACTAAAAAATTAGGCAACTATGCATGGTATTCAGGACTAGTTCTGATGTATTTATTATGGAACCTAATGACCATAGTTGGACATCAAGATCTGCATCTCCTTAGTAAAAAAATATCACATGAATCCATATGCCCAGAATTCTGTCATGGCAACCCCAAAGAAGTTTTTCCACTGCAGTCATAGCTGGTATAGCCATCTGTACAATAGTCACCCATAGTAAGTATGGACAGGAACGAGACAGAGATGGCTATATCAGGCAAGGGTGGACTGGATAGACTTGGTCTGATACAGCAAGGTGACCCTTGTGTTTTGGTGTTGCTTTGGGTGGTGGAGTCAGCTGACGTAATCCAATGCTTAAGCCAATACCTTTTCACTTGCTGTAATCAATAAAGTTGTGGCCTTTTCTTGCCCATTAACCTTATATCACGTATCCTTGTGTATTCATTCCACTTTGCGGGGATCGGGTCCTCGAACCACAACTACATCTGGTCATTATCTTCTATCCCAAATTCCATGCCAATCCAGAGAATTACACATCCAGCTCAATTTATTGCTTCTGAAGATGCAGCGACTGTCATTCCCACATGAGGGAACTGATTATTCCCATTTCATTATGTTGCGCAGCCACCTCACTTCCCACTGGCAAGTTATTAATTGAAACTTCCTAACCCAAATACTGCACAAGAATTAAATACTGTACTCATTTAACAAGTTCATAATGCCAAAACGTTTTAAAGCATAACAAACTTCATTGCTTCATCTTCTGCATGGCTTTTTTGATTATTTTGTTAGTAGTATGTAGCTTTTTAGAAAATGCTTTTCACAATCCTAAGAAAAGCCTAGGTAGAGTTACACATGAGTTTGATTGCACTGTGTTAACTGGACTTTGTCCCTTAACTGGTGGAGAGGTTGTCAGGAGAGATGATTGCTGTGTCAGAGATGATGGGCTTGCCTTATGGTGACTTAGTTTTGGGTATAGGAACCTTTCCATGGATGATAAGAAGCTCCCTTATACAGAAACTGACCATTGGTTCATCTAGTTCAGAACTAGGATGTCTACGCTGACTGACAGTGGCACTCCAGGGTTTCAGGCAGGGGATAGTCCCATCCCTACCTAGAGATGCCAGGGATTGAACCTGGGACCTTCTGGATGCAAAGCAAATGTTCTACCAGTGAGTTATGAGCCTTCCCCATATACAATCCATGACTAATCCAGAGACACTGTTAGCTCTGTTGATCATCACCTTCTGCCTGAAGATTAACAGCACAATCCTAATCATGTCTACTCAGATGTAATTCCTGTTGAATTCAATGGCAATTACTCCCAGGCAGGATTGCAGCCTTGGTCATCCTTCTCTGGCAGCTGCTAGGATCGAAATAGCCAAACACTGGAAAACTAGGAATACAATACCAGACCGGTTTGCCCGTTTCTGGCAAATTCTGAGAAAACCTCACACATGAAAGCAAACTGGCAATAGGGGTTTTTAGACAAAGGACTTTTCTTCAAACATGGTTTCCATTTTTCACAAACATTAAGGGGGCACCGCCAAAAATTCAGAGATCACTGTGGAGTTCTGTACTTGAGTGAATAACACAGAGCATAACATATTGTGACCAGCCTAGACAGCTTTCTTTGTCTGCATAAATGAACAATGCAGACCACACACACACTTTATTTCTTATTGTTTGTTGTTGATATACACTTCTGTCCTATATACTGGGGAGGGGGATATATATACACCATATGTGCTTTCCTGAGGGAATTTTATATAATTTATCGATTTTCTACTCTTACAGTGGGGGAATCCTAGAAAAAACTAGGGTAATGGTTTTATGTAATATTAATCTTTATGCATTGTGCACTAAAAACAAATCACAAAAAGAGTACTTTGTGCTCTGGTTCTGATGCAGTTCCTTAGCAATGCATTTAGCTCAATTGGAATGGTAATTTGGTTAAAACTGACTAGGACAGCAATCTATAATAATAATAATTGTTTATACCCCACCCACAGTGAGGGAACTGCCAGAAGACCCTTGGAAGTGGACCTCAGTGTCCAGGCTGAATGAAGGAGGTGGAACCGCTCCGCTCCTTCAGGTATACTGACATATATATTCCTTTCAAGAGGGTCACTAATATTTTAATAATTTCCAGAGGGCTTACCCATGTTAGGGCTCACTCACATTTACCTTTTGCCCTGTGCTTTTTAGGTCCATGTCAAAGCACTTTCTTTTTGGCCAGGGCGAAGGCCACTTATATACCTGCTGGGATTGACAAGGCATCTGACCCTCACCTGAATCTCATAACTCTCCTGACAGGTGATTTGGTCTGCAGCCACAGTGTGGAAATAAAGGATGAGGGGGACTGTTGGCAAGAGTAAAAGCAGTGATATTGTCCTATTCCTATTCATGGTATTTAGCAATGCTGATGGAAACTTCCTAATGTTTTATCTTTAAATAAAGAAGGAGCCATCTCTAATCAGAATTTGGCTATTAAAATTTCATTCACAATCTTGAAGTTTTCCATGTGCTTCTATTCTACCAAAATTCAGCTACTACCAAATTCTCAGCACATTGCTAAACTTCCATTGGAGCTAGTTGTAATTAGGGATGGAAATGAAGCTTAGTTTGGTTCAAATTTTAATGCAAATCTACTTAATAAAACAATATGTGAACAGAAATTAGCTATCCTTTGAAATTATCACTTTTCTGAATTTTGAGATGCAGTGCGCCAGCCAAAAAAATGTGCACGAAAATGCATCTGTTACAGGAAACTGCATAATAACGCACATATTAAGACATATTGCTTGGAAAAAGTATGTATACTAAGCAGATTTGCATACCAAAATGTACATGCTAGAATAAATGTAGTCTTAAAGGCTTAAAATTTTCATTAGATTTTTTTTTTTAAGTCACAAACTGATGTGCAAATGTGGAGACAGAACTGAAATCCATATTGACAGATTTGCCCTTCCTTAATAGCTGTTGAATTTTATAAAGCAGTTCTGTGCTACCTCCTGTCAGGAAGCAAATTTCAGATGGCCCAGACTAAGCAAATGTCATGGTATTATTGAGTGTAGGTGCTGAGTAAATTCTATAAACCATTCTCTGACTCATCAAACCTGGCCAAAGGGCCATTTCTGTTGCTTCGAAAAAATAAAAGGAAGTAGGACTGAAAAGGGTAACTGATGTATTTGTCTTCAAGCTGCGCTAAAGATTTGTGACACGTAACAAGCAGGAAGCACTCCATCGCTCATCATTTTGTGCTGAGATTAAGTGGGCAGTAAACAACCCATTTTTAGTTTAAGGTGCTGGGGGCTGTGACGACGATTGATGTTAAACTGATATGCAAACAGGTGCGGGTGAACTTAGTCATGGTTTACAAGCATAATTGAGTAGGCATTGAGAAGACACGAACATTTCCCATTGCACCACCATGACTGTGTGTTTGCTTTGCTCTCCACATATTCAGCATTAACTATGAAAGCAGCAGAGATCCTGAGGAAATCTGGAAGCCTGAGATATGGGGCAGCGTCCACAACAAATGGAGGCAATAACAGTGTGGAGTGGGGAACGCGTTGGAAATAAATTAAGTTCCTAACTGTGGTCTGTGGTCATACAGTCTGAATCTTCAGGAAATTAGGAGACTCTTATAAATATGGTTACAGTTAAGTGTTTGGGTACACCCAAAATACTGGAGAATAAACATGGTAATGAATTTTTAAAGCTCTGGATTAAGTCGGAGCCCACTTTAAATAACAACAGAAACAACAACTTCATCTCTTAGCATTCTCTCTTGATGATCCACTAGGTCATATTGCTAAACAGTTTTGAAGCCTTGCAATTTTTATTTTCTGCTTTCAGTGCCCAGGGTACCGGTGGGGGGACAATGCGATTAAATCTTTGGGACTAGTTGCACTATCTATCAGTAATGTTCAGTGGTGTGGTGCAAGCAGGGTATTGTTGCCTGCGTGCGTGCCTCCATAACACTGAATGTTGCTGCCACTTCGAGAGATACTGAAAGATGGGGCACAGGGACAACAGCATGGTGCAGGTGGCAGAAGCTTTGGATTTGCTCTGCTGCTGTGCCCACTTCTGGCTGAACTCCCTGCATCTTGCTCCTCCCAGGAGCTGGCAGCAGTTGTTGGTGGCGTGTGGGCCCCTGCCCTCCGCCACAGATATTTGGGGATACAACCTCTTTCACTTGGGAGAGATAACTCTCTCCATTGATTTGCATTGGGAAATGGGTGGTGGAGGAAAAAAAACACCACAGCACAGTATTTAATATTTACTTCAAAATCCATCCCCACCCCACCCTCAGAGTGCCCTGGAGAAATGATTTACTGTGAAGAAAACATAGGTTTCTCTGTCAAAAGACCACGCACCTCTCCACCCTCTATCTGCTCAAACTGCATTTCATTTGCTGATTCCCCACCCCACTGAAAAGTATCTAGTTATTATTAAAGGTCTGATGAGGTGATTTGAGGATTTAAAACAAAAACAACAGGAAATAGTTGCTCAAAGTGTCCAGGAAGTGGGGCAACCAGGAGTGGTCAGTAGAGAGGGGCAGTGGTACCTGGCCTTCTGGTACTGGCATATCTGCAGCTTACAATAAGGGGAAGGGGAGAGGCAATTGGGAGGTCAGTGCGGTGCAAAATCACTGGTGGGAGCATTTGATTGGCTCCACCAAGTTGCCTGCACATAACTGACCTCCCCACTGGCCTCTCCTGGGGAAGCCATCTCCCCCCTCCCCTCCCTAATACAAACTCCTATTATAGCCCATTAAGATTCCCCATCATTCCAAGGGCATTTTCAACTCACAAGGTATAAGCCATGCTTTCTAGCCACTCTGGATAGCTATTACTGGTTTAAAATGGTGGAAGAAACTGAAATATATATATTAGGAGGTGTGCTTGGCACCTACTTTTGAAGGATTTTAGTTGCCAGCTAGCTTACTCAGGCAGATGAATATATATATAATTTTGTGTTGATGGGATTGATGCCTTTTTAATGATGCTGTGGTTATTGTTTTATGCTTTATGTATCCTGATTGGCTTATGTTGTATGCAGAGTAGATTGTTGTGGTCTGGGGGAGAGTTTCTCTTGCAAAGTTTCAGAAGAACCCCCCTCTGCTGTAACTTGGAGCAGGTATTTTAGTGTGACTTCTTTTGTTCTGTGGAATAGCATTCCTGTTGAGTTAGGACAGGCAGAATCAATTGAGGACAGTTTTGTTCTGGCAGATTGTCCCACTTGGATAAATGGGTCTTTGCCATGAATGCTTATTGTGTATGGTTTGAGTTTTGTTTCAAATGAAATGTATTAGCTGGTTTGTTTTTTTAAAAATATATTTAATCATATTTCACTTAAAGTCGATTGAATACAAGGCGACAAATGAATGGTAATAAATCAATGATAATAACAATATACTGCCTTGAAATCTTTCAGTTAAGTGTGATGTCAGAATGTTTTAAATAAATGAGTAAGAGTTAGCCCTCCAACCACCTCACAAAATTTGTTATGGGTGCAGTTTCCAAAGAGAACCGTGTTCTGATTTACACATAAACGCAGGAGGTGCAAAACAGGTGATTTCACTTGAGAATTCAGACCCACCGAATTCTTCAAGCACTCTTACTTCAAAGCTGCTTTCCTTTCAAACAGAGCAAGATCGTGGTGTGTGAACTCTTGCTACATCTATTGGCACTTGATGTATAGTTAGTTTCTGTACAAGCAGGAATAAAATAAAAGTGAAATATTTATACATATATATATATAATCTTCCTTAAATGAACACACTTATGGCAACCATGCACATTTCAGGAAGCTGTTCTTCAGGAGCATCCATCGGCAAGCGACTTATTTAAGCTGTATGGTATGGCACATTTGAAGCAAAATTTATTTGGACTTCAAAGAGTCCAAAACTCACATTTTTAGTAGAGTAACACAGATGGGAAACTTCTGTTAAAGGTTAGACAAATGAAGGAGCTTTAATGTTTTTTTGGCAAGTAGATGCTGGAGGGGGGAAGGGCTGGGGAAGAACTACTCATTATCCCTACAGATAAATTCTATATTCTATCTCAGAGTTCAAGGCTTCCCTTGCAGAGGAAAAAAATGGAAATGTGGATCAGACATTTCAGATGAAAGACTTCCAATGAAGATGATTTATAATAGCAGAGATGATTCAAAAGGTGAC